AAATAAAGAAAAAAGTGTTCAAGACAATAAGAAACACTACCTGCAAAACAAAAGTGAAGTTTTGTTGAAATCGGTTGAAAAAATGTAGGAAATCTGATCCCATATATAAATGAACACACACACACACACACAAACAACCTGGGTTTTATAATAAGTATAACTCGATATGAGTTGTCTCCCTTTCATTCTCGCAACAGCGATGCCTCTTAATTGTGTTTGCAAATTGATGTTGTGCAAAAACAATTGTGTTTTTTCAATTTTTGTCAGAACCACCGCAAGATAATTTTACATAGTCCTGTGAAGTTTTGTTGAAATCGGTTGAAAAATGTAGGAAATCCGATCCAATATATAAACGAACAGACACACACACAACCTGGGTTTTATAATATGTATGATTTTTGGATAATTCAACAACCTGTTCACTAAGCATTTATAATTTTAAGAATCTGTTCACGATAACTAATGCAAACCCATAGGGTACACACACACACACACATGCACATATACTCTGAGGGATGCAAGTTCAATTCCTATCAAAGAGTGCAAATTTTTCTTAATAAGATTTCTTGAACATTTAGTCTGGTAGGTGAAAATAAATAAATATACCTTTTTATATATAAATGGAGCACCTACTCAAATACAAGAATTTGCTAATAATAATAATGTTTAAATTGGTAAAAAATCTGTTGGATTAATAAAAATCCATTCTAAAAAAAATTCTCTTTGTTTATGTTTGGATATTGTTGTAATCTAGGGAAGGTTACTGAATAGAATAGTCAAATGAAGGTTGGTAATGAACGATAATACTTAGGACAAGAACAACACATATAAGATTCGCCAGCAGTGTGTAGAAGTAGTCAACTGCTAGAAGTGAGTCAAGTGAATTCTACAATGAATCTCCAACTGCAGACCAACATACAGTATTTACTACTGTATTTATGCGAATGGGGACATACCCATTATTGTCTGTAGGTATGCTACAACAGATATGAAACAGTGTTCAGATATTAAAAAAAAACTTATAATAATAATGTTTAAAGTGATAAAAAAAAAATTGTTTGTGATGATCTTACATGGATTAGAACCTGACAGAATAATAGGATGAGGAAAAAATAGGAAATGTTTATAAATGTTTCCTGTTTGTTATTTATCTTATCATGTTTATATATATATATATATATATATATATATATATATATATATATATATATATACATATATACACTACAGTTCAAAAGTTTGAAGCCACCCCCAGAATTAGTATGGAATAAACTTGGAGAAGAATGAAAAAAAAAAAATGCAAAAGAGCTCTTCGAGTTATTGAAAAAAGAATGGAATCAATTATCAAACTTATACTTTAGGAAATTTTTGCAATGAATGCCCAAGATTTTGCTGCAGTAATCAAGGCTAAAGGAAGATATTTTGATGAGAGAAAATTTTAATCATAAAATGCTTTCTTTTTTTTTTTCATAATAAAATTTCTAATACAAAATCATGTCCCATTTTTTTTTAGCTATATGTAAGAATTTTCTCTTAATTAAAATACAGAAAACAAATTTTGGGGCCAATTTAAAAAAAAATTTACTAAGGGTGGCCTCAAACTTTTGAACTATAGTGTATATCAGTATCCATATATATTTCTGAGATGAGGAATTATGTACACAATTTACATTGTTTGGAACCACCTGAAGAAGGCTGGAGCATACAATGTCCGAAACATTGTGATAAATATGGCAACAAAGATGAGGATGATAGTTCCAAACAATGTAAATAGTGTATAGTATATATATATATATATATATATAAAAAGAAAACAATGGATTTTTTATCTGACATTATTTCCTGTTACTCCAAACCTTATTTTGTGGATAACCATGTTTGAGTAAACACCCTGTTGTTTTTTGTTTTTTTTCACAATCTGAATTGCATCTACCAGCCTGCACATTTAAGAGACTAAATAAGGAAAACATGCTTTCTGGCAGGGTTGGAACTTGCATCCCCAGGTAGTTCTCCCTACAAAGGGGAACACAGCTTTGAACCCAGACTGAGAGAATATTTTCTTTATTGTCACTTGAATATGCAGGCTTGTAGAGATAATTCACACTTTTTACACTATTTGCATTGTTTGGACTGTTGTCCTTATCTTTATTGTCATATGGCCCAATGGATAAAAATGTTGTTTGAAGTAATCTAATCACTTAGCTCAAAGAGTTGTGAGTTCAATACCTGGCCGCAGTGGAGGTGGATAAAAACTTGGAGAATTGAGTTACTAAAGGGAGATATCCTGAAAAGCCATGGTGTATGGAACTAGAACAAACTTCTCCAGTGGTTGAAATAAAGGGTTTGGTTCAAAATTCCAAAATATATCACCTGAAGAAGGCTGGAGTATATAATGGTCAAAACATCAGGAATATGAGGACAACAGTTCGAACAATATAAATAGTATAAATAGTTACAATACCTCATCTCAGAAATGTAGACAGATCCTGAGGAAGGCCGGTGTGTACAACAGTCGAAACGTTGTGAATATGACAATAAAGATGAGGACAACAGTCAAAAACGTTGTGTAAAAGTTATACCTCAATAAAGATGAGGACAACAGTCCAAACGAAATGAATATGACAATAAAAGATGAGGACAACAGTAGTGTAAATAGTTACAATACCTCTTCTCAGAAATATAGACAGATAATTCACACTGTTTATAAAAACAGGGCTTCGACTCAAACTTGGATATCCACAAAATAACATTTAAAGTAGTAGGAAATACATATATATTTGTGTGTGTGTGTATTTCCATCAATAAGAACATTAATTTAGTCTGATGAAGTCCTTATGTAGGATGAAATGTGTTATATAATTTTTTTTTCATTTTGTCATTCAATTATCAACCATTGATTTCCAAAACAAAAAAAAAAAAAATGAGAGAAAGAAGTAAACGACAAAGTTGTTGACATTTCTTGAGGAATTCTGTGATTTATTGATTCAGTGACAAAATAGAATTATCACTGAGTCTTTGACTTAAGGGTTTCATCTCCCCTTGATAAAAAAATAAAATAACCAAATAAAAAAACGTTATCTGGATGTTAATCTAAATGAGGACAATATGTCCCACTTGGCAGCTAAGAAATTACATCAGCGAAAACCACTTTGGCAATAAAACAAATGAAAATTGAAACAATTTATCTCTATTTATTTATTTACTGTATTTTTTTCCTCTTTCTTTTCTATTTTGTCCCATATATTCTCGAAATATAAAATCATTTCTCCTTCTGTTTTTCTCTCTTTTTCAATTATGAAACTTTATAATTGGTAGGTCAATATAGCCAATCACTCAAATGTCATAATTAATAAGGAGAGCATATCACTCTACATGAAAAGTAATATTGTTTCTCATGTGCATGTGTATATAGAGATAAAAATATATATCCAAATAGAGAGAAAGAACAGATAGAGTAAGAATCCACTATCCTTTAGCATTTACTTTTTTAAAAAAATGCTCAATACAAAGTAGAGCAAAATATTGTAATAATATTTTTATTTAAAAATATTTTACATCGCGACATAAATCTATGTATTTTTTTAAAAACTTTTCACCCCAAGCAAGGCAGGAGTGCCACTAGCACACAAGTGGTTACAAAGAGTGGGGGCAAGAGTAAAGAGGCGTGAAAGAGGAAAGGATGAAGAGATAGATAAGATCAAGGCATCTGGAGATGTCAATTGACATTGCATTTGAATAGTTGGAGATTACAGCTATCAGGGAAGCAAGTAAGAGGAAGGGAGTTCCACAGATGTGAAGTGCAGGACATGATGCTAATGGAGTAGAAGAGACGGCTACATTTAACCGTTATGACAGTGAAAGTGTGGGACTGAGATGCCAACCTAGTAGCACGTTTAAATTCATACAGTTTGGGAACTAGCGAAAATAACTCATCAGAACAGTTTCCATGAAAGTATTTGTCGAAAAGAGATAGGGAGGTGATGACACGTCTGTGAGAGAGCAACTGTAAACGAGATGCCAGATCAGGGCCAACCAGATTACATATCCGTCTCTGGATTTAAATTAGATATACATTATTTTATAAATATATAATGTTACATATAACATTTATTTAATTCCTTGATTTTTTAACTTTAATATTGCCATGTTTTATTGCCCATTCAATATAATAAGTATTATATTTTGGATTCAAAATAATATATATAAAAATGATTTAATTACACTAGAGGTTCCTTTAAGATAGTTCTCAAGTCTATACAATTTTTTTTTTAAATCTTGAAATTCTTTAAAATTAACCTTTTGTTAAATATATCTCACTGAATACATCAATGTATCTTAAATGTATAATCATAACCGGATGTCAGTTAATGGTGACACGTCCGAAAAAATATCATTACATCTAGACAGGATTGAATAACACATCTACCCATAACCTTCAACCTATATTTCTCCCTTTTCTGCTTCAGCCATGACCTATCTTTTGATTGGTTAACCTAGACATACCCACAAAACTTTGAAATCTTTATCCCCTTCCTTTTTAAATCTTAAATAAGCTACCATATTTTTTTCTGTTTTCAAAAGTAAATCATTTTCATTATAAGTTACATGATGACGGAACAACTTCTTTAGTTCCAAAACATAGAAATTTTTATGTAGTGATGTAAAATTTATATATATATATATATATATATATATGAAATCTTAAATAAAAATATATATCTCAGAATAATAGTGAATAAAAAAATGACATGACAGAAAACTGTAGTGATATGTTTTGTCCCAAATGAACTTCTTCAGATATAATCAGTCAGTTATGTGCCATGCTTGATACACACTTAGGTGATCATATATCTTTCGATACTTGACTGATGAGGCAGATTTTTTTTTCTGCCGTAGGTTACCATTTCTTTCTGTGGTAGACCAGTTGTCATCCAAGGCTAACTCAGCTCTCTGATTAACAATTCCAAGCCATTAGCCATTTCACTACCTGCACATCTAAGCTTACAGCACTTGGTATTCCCAAGCGGTCACCCATCTAGGTATTGACCAGGCTTGACGTTGCTTAACTTCGGTGATCATACGCAAACTGGTATATCTATTTGATGTGACCATAAGCCCCTTCTTATCAAAGGAATACAGAGGGAATGAGCGTGGATATACCAAAGTGAGTCTTAGCTGTAAAGGTCTGAGCTGGTTGCACCAAAGAATGGAGATCATCCAAACATGGGAGTAGCAATAGAGTAACAGTAGGTTTGTGACATTCTATAAAAAGGTGTTGTAGGGTGAAAGATAAGTCACCTGCATCAAGGTTACATAACTGTCAAGGCTGCAAAGTGATGAGTGAGCAGCTCCAGTTCAGATATAGAAGCAGTACTCCATTTTTTGGTCTGATCTGATTCTTGTAAAGGTAAAGCTTGGCAGAAAGTCAGGTACTTTCTGAAATGTTACAAGGAACTAACCATTTCTCTACCATATTTAACAGTGGATCATATATATGAGTTTCACTTGAAACTTGGGGTTAACTTGAATGTCAGTAGATTTTCCAAGCAAGAAGCCTCATTTAGAGTGTAATCCTTCATCATAACTGGAGTAAATTGATAGTCTGCTCTCTGATGGTGAAATCTTACTAGCTTGTTTTTTTAAGTATTGAATGTTACAAGCCAATTTTTTTTAGCTATTGAATGTTTCAAGCCAGCTTTTTAGGTATCAAATGTTACAAACCAGTTTTTTAGGTATTGAATATTACAAGCTAGATTTTTAGATATTGAATATTACAAGCCAGTTTTTTAGGTATTGAATGTTACAAACCAGTTTTTAGGTATTGAATGTTACAAATTAATTGTTTTTAAGTATGGAATGTTACAAGCCAGCTTTTTAGGTATCAAATGTTACAAACCAGTTTTTTTAGGTATTGAAATCAGAAAGAGACAGTTGAAATTTCTAGGACATATAATGAAGAAAGAAGGCTTGGAAAATTTGATACTCATAAGATATTGTGTTGGTTTTGTAATGCCTGTTTGTAGGAAAGACTTTGTAAATCTTACTTATAAAACGCAGATTGTGTGTGTGTGTGTGTGTGTGTGTGTGTGTACGTTTATATATTGGATCGGATTTCCTACATTTTTCAACCCATTTCAACAAGACTTCACAGGACTGTGTAAAATTACCTTGCGGTGGTTCTGACAGCACCCAAAATTGGAAAAACACAATTGTTTTTGCACAAAATCAATTTGAAAACACGATTAAGAGGCATTGCGAGAATGAAAGGGGGACAACTCATATCGAGTTATACTTATTATAAAACCCAGGTTGTTTATGTGTGTGTGTGTGTGTTTGTTTATATATGGGATCAGATTTCCTACATTTTTCAACCGATTTCGACAAAACTTCACTTTTTTTGGCAGGTAGTGTTTCTTATTGTCTTCCACACTTTTTTCTTTATTTTTACATTCAGCACGCCTTAAAAATTCCATTTACAAGACAATTGTTTATAATAAAATTCTATGCAATCGGTAGACTCATAACGATTGAAAACAATGTTTTTGTTTGAGTTTGGGTTTGACCAATTCGTAAAAAAAAAACAAAACAAAACAAAAAACTAATTAAGACATGCGTGTCCATCAACCTTAAACAATAATCTTTGTCAATTTTATTTTTCAGTCTTTATGATGGTTGATACTTGATCTATCTCTTACTGTTACATCCCCGGGCAACGCTGGGCTCTACTGCTAGTCACAGATACAACAATAGTAACATCTTCGAACGATATTCAGTCAGACACCACTAATTCCCATACATATATTTTTCTTTTACCTGTCACATGATCTAATTATTTCAAGATGAGGTTGATTGTGCTTGCTCTCTGGTGATTTGTGTTCAGACCCAAGTTTCGGCGGTTATACTTTATTCCTATATGACAGTTGGTAAAAGAAACAGGGGGTAACAGTGTGTCACTTACCTAACGAGCTTGTGTAAATAGGGGGCAGAACAGGGAATGGAAAGAATAGTAAAAAGACAAACATTGCTAAGAGCTATAAAGGATAGGAAGTAGTGGAGAGACATGATTTATTAAGTCCTGAAGAATTAGGGTACATAGAAGAGAGAGAAATACTTACAATCATAAAGAGACATTTGAAATTTCTGGGATATGTGAGGAAAAGGGGTTTGGAGAATTTAACACTCACATAATATCTTGAAAGAAAAAATGAATATTAGAACAATGATGAAAAGGGATAGTAACAGGTCAGGAGTTACTTGAAACAACAAAAGAAGAAATTGTGCCGAGTCATAATACCTCATGTCCTAAGGAGACATGGTGCATAAAAGAAGAACAGTTCTTGTACATCTTTTATGTGCTGTGTTCCTTCAGGACATGGTAGATCATGGCTCTCCACAATTTCCTGTTCTTTGTAGCTCTTAGTAAATTTTGTCTTTTTTGCTATCTCTTCTAATCCCTGTTCTGCCAACCATTTACACAACCTCATTCTTCTTCCTTCTTCTTCTATGTGCTGAGTCTCTTCAGGATGTGGGTAATCATGGCTCTCCACAACTTCCTCTCCTTTTGTAGCTCTCAGCAATGTTTGTCTTTTTGCTATCTGTTGTATCGTGGAGGTGAATGATACACAGAGAAGAATGAGTGCTTAATATATTTATTCAGCACCAGTATCTGGTGCTAACGGATACATACAAAAAACACAGAACAATAAGTTACAAAACAATTAACAAGACAACTTACAAGGAATAGAGGAGTGTCAAATACTGTATAGCCAAACAAAGTAAGATCAGTCCAAATTTAGTATCAACTTAATCAACTGGTGATGTCCTTAATCATAGACTGTTTAAGGCTATGAGCCAGGCCATCTGGTAGAGTGTTGAAGGGGTGCTAGCTTACTCTACAACACTATCTTTTCTAATCACTGTTCTGCCAACCTACACAAGTTTACTGTCAAGTAAAAGACCCACATTGTCTTACCAATCCAGATTCTCTTAAAGACAGTTTCTGTCATGAAGAAACCTTTCAGATTATCTGCTTTGGATTGCTTATTCAAAATGACCATTATCTTTTTCTCTTTTTTTAATTGGATTCTCTTTTCACTTCTAGGAAAATTTTGACACCCACCATTTATTTATCTTTTATTGCTAATCTTAACTTTGTCTCCTTCAATTTCTAATTTCTGTTTCCTTCTTGGATCCCTTTCTTCTATCCCCTAATTTATTCTTTCTTCTCTTTCATTCATTATACATCTTCATTCTTTTGTTTCCCTTCTTTTTTCTTCCCTTTTCCAGTATCTAATTTTTTGATGATAATATTTTTTCTTCTTTTTTTCCTCCTCTTTTCATTTTCATATAGTTTTTCTTCCAATGAGCTTTTCTTTTTTCTCATTTCTGTTGTCTTATTTTTTTAGCACATTTCTTTTTTTACATTTGACATCACTTCTTTTATTTTCAGCTTTTTCTTCATTACACTTCCGCATTTTAATTTCACTTTATCTCTAGTCTATACTGTCTTATTTTTCTTCTCTACTTCTTTTTCCTTCTTCTTCTTTTTTTAACTACAGTGTAACCCGGATATAAGAGAAACACGGATATAAGAGACTTCTTCTCCGGTCATGACAACTCTCTTATATCCGCGTTACACTGTACTAATAATTTCATGACTTTTTAATCCTATCCTTTTTTTTCTTTCTTTCTTCTGTCTTTAAGCGTACCAAATAGAAAGAAAATGTTTTTTCATTCAGGCATAGTGTCGCCTCTTGTGTTTAGTTTATTAGTCAAAGGTTTGCTACATATGTAGACAACCCGTATCTGATTTATGTCTGTTTTTTTTTTTTCTATAAATCTCTTCTTTCTCCCCTTCCATTACACTTATTTTCTCTTATTTTTATTTTTTTTTATCATTTCTCCTACTCTTCTCGTCGTCAACTAAAAAAAAAAAAACTTTTTATAATTCTCTTTGTTCTTTGTATTCTTTTATTTTTCTCGTTTTATTTATTTAAAATTCATTTTTAAGTTATTGCTTTTGATTTTCTTTCGTTTCTCTGATCATTCCTTTCTCCTCCCATATTTTTCTCTCTTTCTTTTCTTCTTTTTCTCCTCCTCATCTACTACTCCTCCTTATCTTCTTTTTCTCCTCCCTCTCCTTATATTCTTTTTCTCCTCCCTCTCCTTATCTTCTTTTTCTCCTCCTCATCTTCTTTTTCTTCTCCCTCTCTTCTTTTTCTCCTCCTCTAACATACTAAATCTCGTCTTCTTTCTCCTTCCAACGTTCATACTTTACTGGTAATTGTATTTTTCTGATTGAGAAAAAGAAGAAAGTGTTTGTCAAAATTATAATGACTTTATTCCATTTTCATATGAAAAAAAAAACGTGATCATCAACAGTGCAGAAAAATGACAAAGTAAATCGTTCCTCTCAGAGTTTGCATTCAATTAAGAAAGCCAGAAGTTTCTAGACGTAAAAGCTAAATGAACCCTCGTTGTATTACCGTGCAGTAATTTTTCCATGAGGGCAGAAGACAGTGAAACCTTAAATATGTCTCCGATTTCACATTTTTCTTGGAGTAAAACAACAAAAAACAACAAAAAAAAAAAAAAAGCCTTAAACTCACAGACCGGAAATAGCTGACATGATGACTTTGCAAATATTGCGAGACAGACACAAGTCAAAAACATTAAAAGAAAGTAAAGCCGTATACTGTTTTGTTCCCAAGAAAGCTAAGTATTGACAATTGACATGGCTGCAGTGAAAAAAAAAATTGAATAAAAAAAGGCAATATATGGAAGGTGGGTAGAAGAAAAATACATTACTTAAAACGTCTCTCTCTTTACTTAATTTTTCTCTTGTAGTTTTTTTTGCATGTATTATTAACTGTTGAAAAGCAATAATCAGAATTTATTTTCGTCGCCTATCGACCATTGATAGGTGTTAATAAATTTGTACAACTGTCAGGTGTCGAGTGGGAGATCTTCGTAATATAAACGTCACCTCAATTGGGTAAAGACATGTATTCTTGTGAAAACAAGTTGGAAACTGTGAAAGCGATGTAATTTCATTTGCATTTGAACAGATAAGATCGTTTGGAAATCTCTTAATACGTCTGTGCAAGACAAAT